TCCGATTTCGGAGTCCCCGGCAAGAAATGGTTAATACCATTTGGCATGATCCACACTTCAGATTTGAATTTATTAAAGGTAATAGATTCCTTATTTGTATGATGGGTTGCAAATGTGTACCAGAATTGTCATTTGTCAAACGGTTCCACAATTTCGTTTGTGTAAAGCATGATGAATTCTTTGTATTGGATTGTATTCTGTTAATTTTTTGCTTTGTTTACTTTAGTTGTTTATTTCTATTTAATGCAGTACTTTTTAGGTTCTTTTTGATGCAAGACACTATGTAAGTCTTATGTAGTGTCATTGTTTAAATCATTCCTTGAATCTAACCTATATTTGCACTGCTTCCCCAAATTCAGTTTCAAATTAATGGTTCTTAAACAGATCATGCAATTAAGAAAGTCCATGAGTTGTAATTTTTGGGAGAATTTCATATGTGTGGAATACAGTGTGTTGATTTGAGAAAATTTAAATGGTTCATAATTTCTAATTTTTCTAATTTTTTACGTTACAACTAGAATTCTCAAGATGGTTCTAATCTTCAATTTGACAACCTCACCAATGACACACCTGCATGCAATGATGACATTATGACTGACCAGTCACCAGTGCCTTCCACATCCCAATCTAGGCATTCACATGGTTTGCCTGATCAGGACGTTGGTCAGGTGGTTCCAAGAACAGCCACTCAGAGTGCTGGAGAGGTAGCCCCAGTGTCTGAGTCTGCAACAAGGGCAAGCTCTGTACTTGAAACTGAAAGCAGAAATACAGGTATAATGCCCCAAACTTGAAAACTGTCATTCAACACGCTTTCAAAAATACGCTTCCCTTATTTCAAGTCTAGTGTTGGCACATTTAACTGCAATGATATCCTATCCACACCAGTCTACCAGCATTTTTGTCAATTATGTACATGTTCATAGTCTTTGTAAAAGTCTACAGTTTTTTCTATATATGGCAGTGAACAATTGTCAATTTAAATTGTGAAAAGTTTTTGATGTAAGTGAAAATAATTACCAATTATGTTTGATGCTTGATCTGGTGGATTTTCAGGTCAACTTAATGCCACGAGTTCTCACCCTGCTGTAACCAGTTCATTTACAGAAGCTTCACATCAAGTTGTCACCTCATCCACAACACACACGACACTCATCCCACCTACAGACCAAGTAGTTACTCTGCCAGTAATCCTCAATCAAGCTGGATCTTATCAAGTTCTACAACAGACTGATGCTGCTAATCCACAGAAGATCATTTTAAACAGTCAAGCCAATGTGCCTGGTGGAACTATCTTTATGGCTACTGATGGACGGATCCTTGGCACTTCAGGTCTTGTCTTACAGAGTGGCCAGTCATTGTCACCAAGTGGTGTTGTAGAGAGTGTTAGCATCAGACAGGCAAGTACGCAAGGGGTTGTTTCAAATGGAGAAGTGCACAGTGCCACAATGAATAATTCTCATGCCTGTCCAATTCATGGAACTAAAGGAGGCTACTCCGGAGTGAGTGTTCCTGATATGCAGCAAGAATCTGGCACATCAGCAAGAATGGCTGTAACATCTGTAACATCAACAGTAAACACAAACAACGTCCAGATCTCAAGTGGGGAAGGTCAAAGTGAGGTGGTGCAGTTACTTGGAAGCATGGTCCAGTCAGATGTTGGTTCCTTGTTCAGTTCCTCTCCAGGAACATCACATTCCAGATCCCCAATCTCTTGCAAACAATCTCCACAGAAGGCCAGATCAAGGAAAAGGGGAGCAAGATCTAGAACGCCTAGCAGCCAAACCCTGAACAGAAACAACCTGAACAACAACAGTGAAACTGTTGAGAATCACAGACAAAACCAAGATGCTCAGTCTACAGATATATCAGTTAGGCCATGCCCAAGTCAAGCTATCAGTGAGACTCAAAGTACCCTGTCTGCTGTAAACAGAGAAACTGCAGTTCTTAACCCTGGACTGTTGACTGGCAGACTTGCTTCCAGTGTTTTGAACACTTCATCAGAAGCTGGTGCTCCCAGAGTATCACCTCCAGTGAAGACTGTCAAACAGAGAAAACACATTCAGTTCAAGGAAATAGTCCTACCACGCACACTAGATGTTGGGGGTTCTCCAGAGTCACCGCCCAAACAAAAACGTCGATCACCAGCCAGTGCCCGTCACCCCAGAGCCTCTAAGACAAAAAGACAGGGTAGTAACATGGAGAGATCAGAACAGAGCAAAGCCTCGAATCCAGCTACTCCAACAATGGCTTCCTCAGTGGCCAGTGGATATGAGACAGTTCCAACCTGCAATTCAACCCCAGATAAGGTCCTACCCGTGGTCAGTGACATGTCTGCTGAAGTCAACATTGCAGCACAGATGCTGGTTTGTCTGTCAAACAGCCCCCCCTCTTTGCGACAGTCTCCAAACCGTCTGCATAGACTGCGACGTAACTCGCCAGCTAGAAACCCAACAAGCGAACATATTGTAGAGTTGCGAAAGGAAATTGGGTTGTCTTCGAAAAACAGTTGTCTCCAGCAAGACAACCAAAGTAACCTTGGACTACATGTACCTCATAATGAGAGTGCTAGAGTCATTAATGCTATGGGTAATGATAAAGGCAAATCCCTGGACAGATTAGCTCAGGAACAAACACAGAAGGATGTTACCAGCAGTAAACGGAAATCAAGGACTCCTCACAAACAGACCAACACATTGACAGAGACTGTCGTTCTAACCATCCCCTCTAGTTCGAACCAGAAGTCCAAGACCTCTACTCCATTATCAGACCAAAGCTTTGTTCCATCATCTATCCAAACTAGGGCTGCATCACTCAAGTCCAAAAGTCCCAGGAAATTTCCAGATGATCCAGTCGCCACCAGGAAGTCATCACGGAACAGTAAAAGTCCTGGCAAGCCTGTTGTGGGCATGAATAGACCAGGAGATTGTGATTTAGGAAATGATGTTAGCCAACATTCAGCAGAGGAGTCTGGGCAAAAAGAAAGAGGACAAAAAAGAAGCAGGGAGGGAAACAACAGAGAACAGGTATGTTGTACCCTTCACACATGAATGGGAAAATACTTCTCACTTAGGACAAGGTCCCAGATAATACAGGATACAGGTAATTCAGTACATGTAAGTCCTAAGGCCCTCATATTAATGAGAGTTTACAGTACTTCAAACTTCCCAAATTTCTCCAAAGACTTCCATGATCCATTACACCTGCTGCTTGCAACCAACTGCACTATCCAACCATGTCATGTTTATGGCCATGTTTCCCTAAATTCATTATTTAAGTCGGAAATGTTGATCAATACATGCTAAAGCTTTCATTGTTCTGTCATTTTAGTTACTGTGATATATGATATTCCTATTGTCAGATTACCAAGAAACCAAAGACTGCCAAAAATGTGAGTATACAATTACAATTTCAAACTTACATGTACATGTAGGCAAATTTTGGAAGTTAATGCGAAAAGTTCAGAGAGAATCAGTCGCATATGGTAGGCACTGATTTCTATACCTACAGTGTATAACAGTCCTTATAACCTCGGAGATACATGTCTATGTACACACTGGTACTCTAGACCATTTTAAGTGAGTGGGGGTGCCATCATTACATATACCAATGAACTTTCATGCAAAATGGGGTTATGGTAGACTGATTCCTTAACCTGACACATGACCTCGCCCGCCCTTTCCCCTTCTCCATTCTTGCCGACAGCACAATGAATTAATCAACTAAACTCATCAATGGGGGTGAGACAACAGTGCCCATGGAAGTGCAATGTACATGTTTCTGCTTTCATACAGTGAAGGAAGTGCTAGTATCCATCGAAAAAGGACAGCATTATAGACTGTTTGCCACTTCACTTCTTTATAATCTGTCTTTTCAAGCAGTTTGCAACCAGTCTTTGTTGCTGTCTCGGAATAAAAGTCTAATTCAAGACAGCATCTCTCTATGAAGTTGTGACCTGCCACGTGATTGTGTGTCACAGGGCCATTTTTTTATTATTTTTGTTTCAGTGTGCATTAGGAAGAGCAAGCTGAGCTTTTTGCATTGCCTTATGCACTGCATTCTGATGAAAATGAACATTGTATGGGTGATAAATATCAATGGTTACTTTTGTTTTCCATATTGCGAGATTATTTAAAAGCTTGTAACTCCAAAGTGGCTCTGCACTTTCACAAAGCAAGTCGAAGAAGAGGTCACATGTACATGTATGTATGCATGTACATTCACAGTTATGTTTTTTCTGACAACAAAAGACTCGAGTAGAAACATTTTCATCATTAGGAAATATACATGTACAAGTAACATTTCAATTAATGTCTGATTGAAGATGAGATATACATGTACATGTATTTACACTGATCAGTTTAATTCAGTACAAAACTCAAAACCCAGCAGACTTTTGGGTTGGTGTTACCTACATTGGCAGTTTTAGCTCATGATTTAATTAAGCTTTCCAAAATATTCCAAATGAAACACTGGGTCCTCTCTGAGCTACATGTACTTTAACCGTATAATTGGAAATACATGTAGATGTGCACTCTACTTGCACTTAGACTTGTCATTTTCTATCGGTGTTGTAGTAGTACATGTACTTTAAAGTGAGTTCTGGGTTTGGTTTTGGGAAGCTTATCAACTGTCCCCTTGTTGAATGGCAAGCATTAAGTCAAAGTGAAGGTGTTGCACCACATTCCTGCATGCATGAGTCGAATCAGTGACTCATCTCAGGTCTGACTCAAGTCACACTTTCTGGTGACTTGACTCAAGTCCTGACAGGTAAATGACTTGGCTCGATGAGTCACTGTGAGAAAATGACTCGACCTAAATCCCTCATCAGAAGACTGGACATGAGGGAAAGCTCACAAGACTCAAGTCCTAATAAAGAAATTTTGCAAGAATAATATTTGCAACATTTGTCTAATGGTGCTGCTTTATCATGTTTGGGTCGTGTCGTGAATGCAGTGTCTAAAGAGCAGCTGTCAACATGTCATCCTTCCTCCATGGTGTAACAAACATATGTCCATCATGTCATGGACTCCCACCTTGTGTTTCTGTAGTATGTAATGCTAACCCAGAACTGGACTTAAGGCACTTCTCAATTTGTGGTTTCATCATTATCACATTGACCTATTAAGATACAGATTTGTATAATGTAGTTATTTTCCTCAAATCAAACTATTTGAGCTTGTAAAACAGTGGTCTGTGACACTGAAAGTGCACATACATGTAGATGGTATCGTTTTTAATTTCATGAAGAGTAATAGGTGATGTCACCAAATGTAGTAGTCCAGATGTGAATCTAAAAGGGCCAGAAAATTACTTTCCTTTTGAGTTTGTTGTATTGTGTTCAGATACTTGTGACTCAAATTGACTTGACCTAAACATTTGACTCAACTACATACTGTGACTCAACTTCTGTACCTAATGACTCGACTCGACTCACATCACAAAATTTAGTGACTCGTTACAACTCTGGCATTATGGCGATAATGAAACATTGTCGGTAGAAGAGGCACTTAATGTGCATATGTACAAGCACAGAAACATTTCGGCAAAGCTTCAAATATTGCTGGCCACACCAGTGTGAGTTTCTAATTGTTACATTGGTTGTTTTTTTTCTGTTAGCAGTCAAAGAAAGGTAAGAAATCTCAGGGCTTCCCATCCAATCTTGATGTTGACAAGTTTCTGTCAAGTCTCCAGTATGCAGAATGAAGAGATACAGGATTATTCACAAAGCTAAGTTTGTCAGAATTTGTTCAGAGTTCCTTTTTACTTTTATTTACTATATTAAAATGTAACATCAGATTAAATCATTTTGAATGAAAATGTGGTTATAGAATAAATTGGCATGTTCCTTTAAAGTTGTGTATTTATATTTAGAGAAAAATGATATGGTACATGTATTACAGTTCTAAGCCTGATCATGCACCTGGATTGGTCTGTAATAAATGAAGTGTCATGTCCAATCTGTATCCAACTGCTAGCCCTGTGTTAACAGGTCTTGTCCATTGTAGCTGGCTGACAGTCTACCAGCACTGTTGTTTTACCCATTTACCATGTTTCGTGTGTATCACTGGGTTTTAAATTGTTTACTAATATGACTCATTGTTTCATGTGAATATTCATATTCAGAATTTGGTAGCAAAGACTAACAGCAGTCCATTGATATCCCAAAGAAGTATCTGTTTGGGGTTAGAAATAAACGTTTATTCCTCCAGTTGTAATCATGGTGAGATTTTTGTAAAGATAATTTAGATGAATGTTTCATTCACTCATCACCCAAAAGGCTTTGACATAACCAAAGTCAAACCTCGGCTAGTCAGATTGCATCATCAGAATTTGGTTGCAAGTTCCACACAATGCACACAAATTTAAAGCTGCAATTAGATTGGGCAGGTTATGACTTAAAATTCACAGCACATCTTGGATTAAGTATGAGCCATTATCATAGGGCGGGGTATGTACATGTATGTTTATTGCTATGCAGCAAGCCACAGTTCAGTGGCTAGTGGCATAATGGAGCCATCACTATCGGTCCTAAAAATCAACTTCACATTCATTGCTACATTGCTCAGCATACCAATTTGTGTGTGAGGAGATTTTAGTCAACTCTCATTACATGTGTAAAGAACAGTTATAACAATTTAAGAATTGCTGTTGAGAATCCACCTTCTTGAATTTTCATGTTTTTCAGTTTTTCCCACACCTAAGAACAAATTTCTGGTTATTTTGGTTGATACCTGGAACTTATTGATAACAAGAGTTAACTGTATTATACATAGGTATTTACCATTAGACTACAGTGTAGATGGTGTTTTAAAAAAAGCACAAGGTAAAATTAATGAACATAATCAAGAAAATGTGACTTTTCTTTGTACTTCATCATCTAAAAAGGTATTTATGAATGGGGATAAAATGGTGATGATTGGTCTTGCATTGAATCCAACTTATAGTACCACACTTTCAAAATCAGCTTAGGGCCTGGCAACAATAGCTAAAGCCCCTACAGGTAGCTGCTTTGAAAGATATTACATGTTGTCAATTCCCTTATTAAAGTGATCAATGCTTGCCAGTGCACCCCCCCCACGGCCTACCATGCTTGTGCATTACATGTGACAGCCAGCCGTGAGGTCTCCGTAATCTTCAGCTTTGTGTGCAACATAACCTCTTAAACTGAAGAGACTTTCACTCTGCAGAAGTACCTCATTTGCACCAACATTTCTTGATGCCATTTCAGTTTTATTAAAAGCTATGCTTCTAATAAACTCTGGAAATTCACAATGTATGGTGTCTATAGTTCCAATAAAACCTTTGAGTTGTGGAACTACTTTACATGCATTTTGTTCCTTTAAGACGTGTGTGGTAACAACCATGTTTTGAATAAAGTAATGACAGGTTATAAAATGGGCGAGTATTTTTGCGTTATGTGTGACATTTAATTAGAGATAAAAATAAACGATGTTGTATCAGCTCTGTTCTAAATTCACTGCAAATATCTTTTATCAGGTTTCAAGTTTGTAGAAGGACTATTTAAATCTTACTGAACAGTTAAAAAAGTCTTGGTGTTTTTTAGCCAATGGTGGTCACCGAAAAAAAAAAACGTGGAAGGTAGCAAATGAAGAAATGTCTACACAGCCATTACACTGGAGCACATTATCTCAGCTCAATTTACTGAATATTTGGAGGGAGGTAGGGGAAACAAATATGAGTCTGTGAGAACCTATTGGAATGTTTCATGAATGCTTGTTTTCTAAGCAATGTCACAATGGATTGGTGAGGGGGGCTGAAGTCTACTCCACACTGCAGCATTAAATTTTCCCACTTACCGGTATGTACTAAAAGGAAGGTGTCAATATGACAAGCTAACAAAAGCTTCAATGAGGATTTTCTTGTCACCATTTGCTCATGACTAGTGTTTAACATTAAAAGCTATGTTTAAAATGTTTGCATGCAATATTTCTTTGGACTATGCCAATGTATGTTTCCATTATAAGGATGTCTTTGCTAATGCCTGTATGAACAAAACTGCCAAGAAACGCCTACAACCCTGCATTTAAAATGCGACAAAAATGACAATTTCAGATTTCTTCAAAACCTGCACAGTCTTAAGTTTTAACAGATTACAGTACGCTTTCTCTTTTTCTTCTAACACTACACAATTTGACAGCATTATTAACTACTTCACACCAGGCCCATTTATCCATGTTTATTTTGCTGAGCCAGATAATTTTTCATTTTTTTTGTTATCAAAATTCTTGAATTCTTTTTTAATTCCAACACTACACAATTTGACAGCATTATTAACCACTTTGCACCAGGCCCATTTATCCATGTTTATTTTGCTGGGCCAGGTAATTTTTCACTTTTTTGTTTTCGAAATTCTTGAAAAAATTCACATCTTCATTTTCTGGACGCTTACACCCACATAAATGACTGTCTGGTGGCTATTCTAATCTGACAGAAAACATCTATTGACCCCCTAGTATTTCAGCCAGGCCTGCCGCCTTGTAAAGAGAGCCCAGATTGTGCGGTGGTGCTTAATTTTCTTTTATTCCCGATACTGGCCCAGTGCACTGCTGACGTCTTTTCAAATGCAGCCTGACTAGTGTGCAGCGGTTTTGTATCACTCATCGCTGGAGTGCTTTTGTCCTCGGTCATAACCCGCTCGCAATGAATGCCACAAACAGTGGTATACTGTCTCAAAATAATGATGGATTACCTCCGCAGTTGACAACTGAAAAAATGTTGGCTATTCCCAGTAGCTCGGTCTTTTGTTCAGAGTACGGTCTTTTGTTACAAGGCCCAATTCCCCTGGTCCGATTTCAGGCACCCCGTCTGTGCAGATAAAGTAAACGTCTCCAAAACCAAGCTCCTCAGCAGCGAGTGGTTAATTCACCACATCACCAGGATTATTCTTGAAGGCAACTGTACAATTAAATTTTACAAAATAATTTTTGAAGAAATTAAACGATCTATCCTAGCGTATAGTGGCATCTTGCAAAGAACAAGTGACTTTCCCTAGGTCCGTCATGACAGCACAATCCTTCCATTGGGCAATATTGTCGGATGATGTTTTGAGATCGACCTAAAAGACAAAAAGACATTCATTTTGTTACTTAAAACTTTGGCAAAGTTCTGAAGCTTAAACCATGTATCATTTGTTGCACTTTGCCCCTCCATGCAAGTTTATCTACAGGAACTTTACTTTTCACCACATCTCTATAATGCTCGGTTATTTATATCTTGTATTGATTGCAGGAATTTCTGTTTGTCAACCTTTGGTCAATTTATAAGGAAAACTTGTACCTAAGCCATATTTTTTATGATCAAGCATGTAGATATATCTTCATCCACAAATAATTTGGCAGGGATTTCAGTGCTATTTTCTCCAAGAGGCTCACCTGTATTTTCTCAAAAACCTTTTTCTTGGGTTTCAGTTCATCATCTGGCTTGCCTGATTCATAGCCTTGAATGAATACACGCTGTCCAGGAACACTGCCCTCTGGAGGGCAAAGAGGTTCGATCTGTTTGGGATCTTCACTGAAAGCAAAAGTGGACACTATTACAGCACTATCGAATATTTCCACAGTTCTCACTGCATGGCTACTGAGCCAACTAGTTCCCACGCAATGTGCAATGGCAAGTTAGTCCTACATACGTAGGTATTTACAGCAGCGTGGCTTTACATGACTGGGTTTAACCTTCCCCTTAATCATCACTGTTTTGAGAAATATACAAGGATGGAATGTAAACTACACTTTTTAGGTGTTATTTGTTAATTGAAACATGACAAACTGTCAAGGGACAACATTTGCAATAGTGTCTGGTGTGCTGACAAGCTCATCTTTCCCTACAAGAACTACAATGCAGTCTTGCTGTTGCAATTTTCAGTTTTGTTAAACCTGGCCTGTCAAATGCAATTCTCACATCTTTAAAATCCTGTCTCTATGGCTGGCAATACTCACGGTGATCATTTTACATTCGTGATCCAATCCAACTCAATCTAATTTACATTTATGACTACTACTTAGTTTAGGTGAAAATCACAGGAAGAATGGCACTGTGAGACTCGCAATGTAAGATTCTTAAGGCACTAGATAAGAGTAGGTCGGAAATGTCAGTGATGATGTACTACTAAGGAAAATACAGTCCCATGCCACATCATTGGTACCTGGAATTTTGAACCTAGACTACAAATTGTAGGGGTTAAAAGTCACAGCAGTGAGTAAATGGTATAAGGCCATAATGGATGTGTAAAGTAGAAGGAAAAAGGGATGAAATTACTAACCGACATCCACACATGACCATGGCTTGGGACTCGATGCCTCGCATCTTCTGTGGCTTGAGATTACATAGCATGACAACCATTCTATCCCTCATGGCTTCCAGAGGTACCATACCAGCCAAGCCACTGATCACTGTGCGTGGTTTCTCTTCACCAACATCAATTTGTTCCACATAGAGGCTTTCAGCATCTGGATGCTAGAGGAAAGGATAAAGATAACATAGTTTAAGGTGGGGTTTTACTAAGAGAAATAATAGTGCCTTCACTGTGACATCCACCGGCACCATAACAAAAGTAGAGAACCAAACCATTTCCTGCCGGGGTACCCGGTTTTGGGCACATAGGCTTTTTTTTTTAACCGGACAAAAGAACTGGGCCTTATAACAAAAACGTACTTGGAACAAAAGACCAAGCTGCTGGGAATTGCTAACATCATCGTTTTGAAAGAATATACCACTGTTTGTGGCATTCGGCAAGAGCGGATTACCACTGGGAACAAAAGCACTCCAGTAATGAGCGATACAATACTGCTGCACACTAATCTGGCCTATATTGAAAAGACGCTAGTCGTACACTGTCCCAGTTTCGGGACCAAAAGAAACTTATGTAACACTGTACCATCTGGGCTCTTTTTACCAGACAGCAGGCCTGGCTGATATACTCGGGCATCATGATGTTGTCTTTTACGTTAGAGTAGCCACCAGACAGTCATTCGTGTGGGCGTAAAGGTCCAGTCAATGTACTTATGATTTTTTGAAAGAATTTTGAAAACGGAAATTCTTTAAAATCCCCCGGTTTTATGTCATGCAACTTCAAATTAAAGCCGACAGTAAGTGGTCAATAGGACTTTTTGTCTGGTACTTTAGTTCTTAAATCTAGAAAAAGACTTATCACCGAACACATATCAAAACCATCTATTTTTATGCCAACAATACATGTATACATGTAATGATAGAATCAATACTCTAATTATAACTGAATTCCTACCATTTCAGCAGATATGACCTTGCCTACTCGTAGATCAAGTCTGGAGGGAATGATCTCATCATCAGCTGTGGCTCCTTGGCCTTGCTTTCCTCCTTGTTCTGAAATAGCAGCAGGAAGTATGAATGATTGGCAGAGTTCTCATAAAAATATCATCTGCATATTACTGCACACAAAGAAAATCTGATTGGTATAATGCAAAACTTACTCTTTTTGGAAGCTGGTGGGTATGCAGCGTTGGTGAGTTTCTTTAGTTCTGGCGTCTCAAATGCTTTCCTGATTGGCTCCATTAAATGATTTAGTTCTCTGACAACAGCAGCTTTCAGATCGCCTGGGTGAATTTCCTGTCAAAGAAGACCAACAATAAATGAGGGGTTAATGACAAAAACATTTAGCCAAGCATTTGGGCAGCTGTAACTTTATTGGTAAGTTACTTCTTATAATTTGACAAATAAAAACCAATCACACGTAAAAGCCACAATGTACCTCCTTAGCAAATGCTTGTTCCAGTGTTTCATAATCAAGGTAGGTCACATTGCCACCAAACTTCTCATTTCTCTCAATAAGAAATTCTGAAACAAAAGCATTTGAAGAGAAAAATCAATTTTGTACATGTACAATGTGCTCAGTACATTGAGTAGTTAAGCATCATTCATCTTCTCAAGAAAGATTTGCACAAAAGATGGCATCAAAATTACACTGGAAAATGCATAATTAAGACAATGACCGATAAATTATATTCTATCGTTAACTGCCGTGGTTTTAAGTAACAATTTCCAAGCTATGCTGGTTTCATCCGATAAATAAAATTAAACCTAGGTTTTTACCTCCGTCAGACAATGGCAAGAGAACGTGCTTGACGAAAGCCAGTACACCATTGGCCGTGATGTTCCCAGGTTCACAGAATGCCTTTTTGATCTTTTTCCTCAATGATTCCAATGAGTCCAGCAAATCTATCTTTGAATCCTGTAACAACACATGAAACTTCGTGTGAAGTTCATTTTGATTTCTAGACTCAGATTATTCAACAATATGAACTGTCTAAAATCTTTAAATATATGAAAGTTTTACCACCAATTTAATAGTATTATTCTTGAAATAGACTGAACTTGGGAGATACATCTTACGTATATTAGAATGTACATGCAGCGACACTTCTCTCATTCGAATTTGAATCTTTTTGCAGTAGTATACAGCTAAGGGTAAGCCATGGAGATATGGCCCATCAGTGACTCGTATCCTCTTGATAATAATTACTGATTGCAATTGATTTATTTGATTAATTAAAGAAAGTGCACAGAACTGTAGAATCCCAAGTAGATCGTATTCTTTTTTCTTTATTTTCACATTGCGTTCGGCATAAGACTGCCAAAACCTAACCCTCTATTTGTGGTATGTCAAGTATTTTTCTAGTTTAAGGCTAAGCCATTTAAGAGTAACTCGACTACAACAGTGCTATTCTCAGTGATAGCTACATTCCAATGCACAGGTAACAATTCTTTAGGTTGACTTCATGAAGTACAAACCTTGCACAATGCAACAATATGCAGCAGATATCAAGCCAATGGTATAACTAAAGGAGACATGGTATGGCCCCGAAACATGTGACCTGTGCTTCCCTCTCCCTTAGCGCCCTTCAACTCACAACTTGGAAAGGATAAAGCTCTGTACAGTTCTATAATGTCACTAGATGCAATCAGTGCTCCTCCAGAAACTGAAGTGCTGAAATTTCCCTTCCCAATAACACCCTAGTTATACCAATGGCTCAAGTAGTTGAATGCTGCTAATAATCAACATTGTGGCACTGTCAAGCACCGATGTTGGTGTCCATGAAACACAATGCAACAAAATTCCAGCTTGTATTTCTTTGCATTCAGATTTCAAGCATTTAACAAGGCAACCGCAGAAAGCAGAGTGGGAATTGGGGATACAGGCAGATGTACTTTAACCACCACCAACCTCATCTGACGAGCTCATCTTGGTCCCTGTTAGACCTGGGACCATTGGATTCATCAGATGGATCCTCTTAGCATAGCCTAATGCTGGCAGACTCTTCTCAGCAAAGGTGAAGATCTTACGTTGATCCACACCCCCAAACTGACAATCCACTTTGAGGTATTCCTCATCTAGAGCTTGTAGTCCAGGATAGAGGAGACCACTCAAGAGTGGATGCTCAACTTGTTTGACAACCTCTGCACCTGCTTTCCTGGCATCATGCTGTAAATATAAAGGTTGGAATATTACAAGTCCTACCAATAATTCAGGTTTGAGCTGTCCTGAAGAAGAACGTGTTTTTGAGTGGCATGCAAACACTGAAATATAAAACCACATTTAGAGAAATAACAACATGGAAATTAACATGTTTAAAACTAGAGAGTTTTCATACTAAATAATGGCTCTCTTGTTCTTTACTGCTACTGGTATATGAACCGTGTGCAATATTCAACAGTTTTACTGAAGTGACACTGAAAAATACCAGTATTTCTAAAGAGCATGCATTCACAGAGGTATAAGGTTTAGAATAACCATACCTGTGTTACAACTGATGCCATTCTATACACATCCAGAGTGTATTCCCTTTGAAGAACAAAACATGCAGACATCAGACTAACAATATAATGCATTAAGTCTCCAAAAGTAGAACTGAAGTCAAAACCCATCCCCCCCGAGGAAAAAGTTGAGTTTTGATGAGTCTGAGTCAGGATCTACGGTTACAATGGCTGAGGCTGAGTTTGGTTGGAAAAATCTGCCTTAACCACTTGCTGCCGGGGAACCCCGTTTCGGGCACCATGGGTTTATATGCAGAGCTGGGGTGCCCAAAATGGGACAAAAGAGCTGGTCCGTGTAACAAAAGACTGTACTCGGAACACAAGACCTGCTGCTGGGAATTGCTATCTTTTTCAGTTTGCATTTTTCTAAGGTAATCTGTCACTGTTTTTAAACAGTATGCCACTGATTAGCGTACGCGGATTAGCCCGCGGACAAAAGTGCTCCAAGGCCCCATTGATGAGCGACACAGCACCACTGCATGCTAATCCAGCCGCGTTTGAAAAGATGCCACTCGCATTCACGGGGAATGAAGGAAATTACACAACACCTCACAAATTCTGGGCTCTCTTTACAGGGCGGCAGGCCTGGCTAAAATACTCAGGAGTCAATGAAGGTTACCGGTCAGCTTAAGAGTAGCCACCAAAGAGTCATTTGTATGGGTGTAAACGTCCATTAAATGAAATGATGAAGTTTTAAAGATTTTTGAAAACTGAAAATCTTGAAAATGGCCTGTATGTGTGCAATGCATTTTAAAAGGACCCGGCAGCATGTGGTTAAGTTACCCCAGGTACAGACAGTCCACGTCTAACTCATAGTATTATTCTGCTTATATAAACATTTTTCTCAACACAGTATAGACCTTTTTCCCACACGTGACTAAATGCAAATAATACTACCACATGTGGACAGCCTTGGCTACAGGGATCACATAAATTCCTATGGGCAGCTTTAACCACGTGCAAGCACACGTGTGAATGCCGCATGCTTGACTGGTTTATCTTGAATACCTGTAGGTAGAGTACCATCACAACACCATGCACTCATTACCGTCACAACACATCATAGGTCCTGCACGATTTGTGACATCACTGGAAAAATGTCCATAATAAGAGGAAGTCTAACATTCAAGTCACTGATAAACATGAAAATACAGCCAGAACCGAGCATATGTTCTGACAACATTCCTACCTGCTTAGTTGGTAGTCTGTCCCTCGGACAAATTTTAGCTTTTCCAGTGGTACACCAATAGATGTCAGCATCGCTTTGATGATATGTTCATAATACTGTGTCCGAAGGCTCAGCAGTTCCCAAGGGGCTTTCATGTTATCCAAATAGGCATGAAGGTCAGCAATAAGGATTGTTACCTGTTGGGAAAAGAACAGCCAAACATGTTAAGGTTTGGATACTGGAGGAAAAGAGAGATGGTATTTGTTTCAGAACTCAGCTTCTCCAACTAGATAAGAGCCTAAGAGGCTTCAACACCGACAGTAAAATTTGCCACATTCTGTCCAACAAATTTCTGCTGCATATTATGCGTCTTAAGCTCTGACCCACACAGTGAGCAAATGTAGTTGTATTCGGTTGAGGTCTGAGGTGAATTAGAATACAACAAATTTATCATTGTCATGGTAATGATTGCAAAGTTCAGTGGATAGAGGGTATTGTGAACAGGGTGCGGCATGCAGTGAAAGTACAGAAATGCATCACTTCACGCTTGCTAGCAGCAACGACAACACATTCAATTTGTTCATATATTATTACATGTACTTTAGATTAAAGTCACTGTCGTGGAGAAATGTAGAGGAGCAAGCCTTTTAATTACTTGATCATTGCTTAGCTAGCCTGAAAGCGGTGGATTGCAAGTCAGGCATACGTTTCCACTTTTCCCAAACAATGAAAAGAGAGGTTTTTGTGGTTTTTCGTATCTGGTGGCCCCCAGAAGCAACAGATCATTGGGTCCCTCAATTGTAATCTTCATAAATAAGATGTACCGTATGAATATAAAAAAAAACAAATGTTGCGATTAAGAATGTTTACACTAAGATTAGTGCACGTCATTGAAATCGGAATCCATGGAATGGCGTTTATCAGCAGCACCTGATAAATTCTATAATGTTGAATTATCAATGAAAGTAACGAAGGCTTATCATTTGTGCCAGGAACAGAAGTAGTTATCGGTATAATTAAAGGTGCTGGTTGCTGCAGCTCACACATCTATACCAAATGGATGCGCTGGGTGTGTTATTTTGGTCGATGATGGAATTAATTGATAAATATATTTTTGTGCAGGTTGTTAAAAAACCTAAGATTCAATAAGGGGCCAGACATTTCTGGGGTGAGAGTTGAACAAGTCCCTTGAGAAAACCTCCACATTTAATAAGCAAATAACCTCAGTGTTTACTAAATTCAATGAATGTTCCCCTTACCTTGCATCCTGCTCTCAGAAAATCTGCAACCTTGCTCATAGGCACAAAATAAGCGACATGAGGCCTGCCTGTCGTTGCTGTACCCCAGTAAATAGAGACATCCTTACCATCAGTCAAGAGTTGCTTCAATTTGTCTTCTCCTAGAACCTCCTGCATGGAGTTGTCAGCATAGACAAAGCAAAAGATCAGATCACTGGCATTGAGACTACACATCAAAAATAAATGACAAGTGTCTCATTGGAACTACAAGTTAATCTCCTGAGTCAGCGAATAATTTATTGGAAATTGTACCTGAAGATTTCTTGTTATCAGGTGAAATCTTTCATCCACACTTTTTCCTTCGGTTGCCATAACAACTGTTCAGATACTGCAGAAAGAAAAACAGTTGAAATAAATGTATAGTTAAATACATGTACCGGTGCATTTGTACCTGTTTATGCATTAGATATATATAGCATAACTACATGTACATTACATGTAAGGTCTGCTGTCAAGGTGCTGTGGCTTAAAGTTCAGTTCTGGAAATACTTGCAGACTGGTCTACACCACAGAACTGATCTCATGGCTTTCTCTAGTCTTGTGCTATGTAATGTACATATACAATGTACTGTTACACGCTGGTCACTTACAGTGTATGTTGCCATATCGTAACGTTAGTGTGAACCATATCTGACTTCTACGAACCCCTATCTTCCATGACTGTATGACTGCCAGGTTTTTTATTTCACCACCTACTGTCATGATTGTGAAGTGTGATTGGTTTTAACAGTACATGTATAAATTAGGGACTTCGTGACTTTACGGTCATGGATGTTGGATATTTTGTCCCGATGCCATCACATTGCAAATATCAAATATCAAAGGCAGAAAGAATTCCAAACATGTACATGTATACTGACGCCGCATATTTTTCCATGCCGTGACATACAATGTACCGTACATGTATGTGTTAACCATCTGACAATAAAATGTCCTAAAGTCAAATTTAGCTGTGAAATTATAGAGGTATTCACTTCGAAAACACTTGGAATTAATTTCTTAGTCCAGTCTCATAGGGTTTGTGTACAGACTACAGGGTGTCAAGTGGCATCTATAAAATTCTTTCCTCAAAGGCCCTCCCCTTTGAGTGATGATAAACAAGCAATTAATCAGCCTTAACCCCAACAGTCCTCAGTCCTTCACCATGTTCACCTGTTGGAGGACTGAGGACTATTAGGGTTAAGGCCATGAGAATAGAAGTGGTAGATTTGCGTCCTAACAATGTCAAAACACATGAGGCATGTTTTCATTTTTCATCATTCATTATTTTATGTCAACCTCCAAGTACAGACACTTTTCAAGTACAATTCTGCCAAACTACAACCAAAAGTCTTACTTAGGGATGAGCTACATGCAGGCCTTCATCAGTTCATAGATCGGGTCAAACAAGGATCATCACAACAAAATGTACCGGTAAGCCAATCCAACACATGTGGGTTGGCCATAGCTCAGGCAGACTAGACCTACGGAAGCTAAACTGAGCTAAGTACAAATGAAATGCATATTGTTGTTTTATACAGCTGCTAGAAGATTAAGAACTCTGATTTTTGTGATTTTGTGTCTTTTTATTGCATGTTCAAAATACTGAAATTTATTATTTTTGGGGGGTGTGGTGGTATCCAGACATGCGGGCAGTGGATACAACTTCTATTCTCATGGCCTAAAATTTACAGAAAGAGTTCCATAAACAGATGCCACTTTAGAAATGGATTCACAAAAGTGGGCCTAGTTGCGCAAACAAAATGATTAAAATGGATGAGAAAATGTATGATCTGTTCTTAAACAGTATCATTTCTTTCAATATTCATCGAAGTCTCTCCTACAGTCTTCTGTGGATCAAGCGTCTTTTCTTCCACTTTAATCCTTTCGTTTGAGCAACTAGGCCTAAGGCCCAGGCCTACATGTACTTTCATTAGGCCTATTCCAATTTTATTATAAAATCCATTGTCAAGTGGTGTCAATTCACGCCATTAAAGAATGAAGCCTTGTTTGTGCCAGAGTTTCCAAACACATTCCAGCATGGCTGGGGTGAAGTGGAAATGGGGCAAAGCCAAGTGGTGTATACTTTAGGGATGGCGGGAGGAGGCAATCATGGCAATGGGGCGATGTGGCAAGGGGACAAAGTTGTTAGGGCCGAAATGACATGGGGCGAAGTGACCGACAGCCGGACCCGGAGCTACATGTACCTGTAGGCTAGCATTACCTCCAGAGCTGTGGGGTCCCCTGTCCACCGCGCTCATTCCTGGGAGCTGGGAAGACGTCGGACCCCACAGTCCTGGGGTTGGCTCGTCCAAGTAAATCGCCTTCAATTTGGAAATGTTAAAAAAGGGTGATTTGTAGGGTCCACGTTACTCGGCCTTGGGGTAGCATGGTTAGGCTGGCATTTACATGAAGGACCTACGCCCCTAGGCCTACATCATGGGTGTTACTGTTACTTAGTGTTAGCATGCACGTGCTGCATGTTCACCCCGCACTGCCGGTGTATCAATTTACTTAATACATTGGGGCATCGCATGACAGGGGTAGCTATAATTCGGTCCTATCTCCTGTGATAGGGCTTCAAATTTTGATCAAAAGAGGCAGCAGTGGAGAGCCGTAGCCAGTGTTTGATACTTGTGCATGCTGTAGTCTCGCATGGAGACGCTGCACCGTGTGTTGCCAACATAAACCGTTGAAAACATTTCTTGTTGGGGTTTTCCTGAAGATATACCCCGCATATATATTTCCAATGGACGTTTGTAAATATGTCACACACGATAAAGCCAAAAGTGCAAAAGCTTTTTTTAAAAGAGTTATTGAGCCATTTCATACAACAGCGTCATTAGGAGTATCGTTCCTTGATAGATCATAAACTGATTTTTATCGACATTATTAAACCACTAAATTCCACACTATTCGAATATCAACTGGACTTTTGGTTAAGTAATGTACATGTATTGCTGTGACAGAATAAAATCACAGCGAACCTGATTTTTAAGTTCGTGAATCCGGCTTTAGAAAACTTTTGCAAGCTACATACATGTACATGTAAAGACTATCAGGATGGCCTTTAATTCAACGCATATTCATCATTCTTATGAAAACCTGACTGCAAGATAATTATCATGATTTGTTTTGCACAACGAGAGGAAATAACCAATTTTCACTGCTCGAAAAAAGCTACTGGCAGTAGGCCTACTGCATATTTGATTACATACATGACATACATGTATGACCATTGACTCACAAAAGAATCCATCGAACGTCTTGTTTCCATCACAAAAGCTCACTGGCGTTCCAGTGTACGACCCTGACAATAGGCAAAACTAAGTTGAGGAAGTAAATATACATCATGTATGTGCATCATGTGCATGGTTAGCAGGTTAATACTGGTTATTACCCCCAGAACTGTGGGCGGACGTCGTACCCCATCGTGACAGTTCTGGAGGTTAACTGGTACGCTAGGCCTAGCCCTACAGGTTGACAAACACTAGAACTTCACTTGGGTGGCTCTATAAGTGGAGCGTTTAATCACTCGCCGTTACTGGCGGCGTTAGTAGTATTATTAGGCCTGGGCCTACCTCTTTTTCGAATTTTGGACTGGATAAGCTGATACAGTAGGCCGGCCTGGACACTAGAAAAAGAGGAATGTCGATACTAACGCTCCACTCAGTAGAGTTACACTTCCCTCGAAAATAAGAAGGCCTAGCACAGTCTTATACTTACAATTAGATTTATGGTGCAGTATAGAAACAGAAAAATTTCTGGAAATTTTATTGTAGGCCTAACGTCACAGCAGAACATCCACGTGTTCACAGCTCATCACGTTCTCTCCCCCTGCCGGCTGGGAACATACGTACATGTACACGTACGAGTTGCTGTGACATTGCATCAGGCTCGCTGTGGCTGGTATTTTTAACCGTGTGATTTCTAAAAGCCATTACAGACAACAGCCGTCGGCTGGCCTACCATTTCTACGGAGTGCCTGAGACCTGGGCCGTTTTCCGATACTCAAATTCGTCTCCTGTATCAGACTTCGTTCCCAAAACCAATCCCCGATTGTGGGCCTGAAGTGTTTGAATTAAATTCGATTACTGTAAATGTCGACTCGTCGAAATAAATTTTGCTGTCAAGTCGATCACGTTCACTTGTGAGTAGTTAGTTCACGCCTGCATGTTGTACACTTGATAACATAAATTATCTCACCAAGTCGACTTACTAGAATTAGGAAGTCGACTCACTTACATAGATTATCTTTTCAAGTCAACCTACCAGAATTAGGAAGTTGGATTGACTACATATTTTTTTTTTGCCAAGACGTCTTCCCACAATTATAAAGTAGACTTCACAACATAAATTATCTTGACAAGTTGACATCGCGAATTCCAAAAGCAGACTTGATGACATAAGTTATCTCGCCAATTCGTCTTACCAAATAAGCGAGTCGATTTAACTACATTAATAATATCGCCAATTCGACATAGGGAATTCCGAAAGTAGACTTGATGTCAAGAAATGTCTCGGCAAGTTGACTTACTCAAATTAGGAAGTCGACTTGACTACATCATTCATCTCGTTAAATCGACTAAATACGCTTTATAAGTCGACTAAGCAATATTATCTCGGTATTTAAACAAGTTGGATGGCACTTCCAGAGCTCCGTATAAACTAGTTCCACCTTGATAACTTTGATAGGGTGCTCAGAGAGAAGGGGAAGAGGGGGAAAGGCTGCATGAAAAGGTTGTAACTTCGGCTTTGTCTGAAAAAGGCTTCCAGAGGTAGGCCTACACCAACCGTGACGGTCTGGGCATCTCCAAATGAAGACCTATATGTATCTAGCTCTAGACAACTGGCAGAAATGCAGCTTTAAGAGCACATAAGTTGATGCAAAGTGGAAATATCACAGATATTTCGAGGAAGTTTGTTCCATATCATTGGTCCAGCATGGGAAACAAAAGAATTCCTCCCCAAAATTTATGAATTCTAGGCACTACCAGCAAGGGGATGAATAAGGGATGTCAAGAAATATGAATTTAAGTCATCATAAACAATTGCAACAATGTTCATTGAACATCATTCCCCAGTAGATTTTGCCAAACGTTTTTAATGATGTAACATGATCAAGCTTTTAAAAACATCTTATAAATAACTCTGCCCCCAACAAATTCCCGATGCCCCCAGGTGCCCCCGCTCCCCCAAAAACGGATGAATAGATATTGAATAAGGCGAACAAAAGCTTGCCCCCAAAAGCCACACCACTGAAAGCTGGAGCACCCCTCCCATATGATGCTGGTGCTCCTTGTGCCCCCTCACTAGTAAAATCCTAGCTATGCCACTGCATAGGCAGATTCGGGGGGGGATCCAAATCCCCCCCCCTTTCATGAGAGGACTCTTATTTTTAACTGGAAATCAAGAGCAAACAGCATTTTTAAAACTTTTTGGTGATATTTTTGGATGAGGGGCCTCCTGATTTAAAACCGTACATGCTGGGATATTACTGTGGTTTTGTAAAATGTTAATCCAGCTTATGGGCAGCTTACACTGCCGGATGGCCACACGATCAATCGGCTAAAGCCATTAAGCCCGCCCACCATTGACTGAATGCTCTAATCCACCTGAGGAAGAATATTTTAAAGTTCCAGCATATATGTTGGCCCAACTTGGACTCCCAAATTTGGTTAATAACTGTAGGTTGCGCCAAAGATGATTTGATCTCACAGATCAGCTATGATGATAAGGCACGAAGCAGCAAATGTCAAAGCATTTCAAATTGTTCTCTGCCTCTTTTATTTGCTGCCGAGTACCATTTGCCTCCGTCCAGTATCGAAGTGATCAGTTTTTGCAACCACACATGCACTCTTCAGCATGAAAGGTCACCTGTAATTTTCAGGTTTAGGCAGAAGGGTACATAGCAACCTGAAATTCATGCTTTTTGTAACAAAATATGTGTCCTTGGTTGGACCTCCCCCCCCCTTTTGAAATAAGCTGGATCCGCCCCTGATTACATTTCAAATTCTTTGAACAGATGACTGCGAGCCTCATTCATTTTATTCACTCATCCAACCCCTTTCCCATCAGCCTGCATTTGCGGTCTGCTTCATAAAATGCATTAAACGGTGTCTGTATTGACATCAACTTCATTCTTTTCAACATATTTTCTTTATTACATGCACAATCCTTAAGGTCAACCAAACATTTTGCTAGTGATAAAAGTATAAAGTTAATAGGTTTCACAGATTTCAGATTTATTCACACCTGTACAAGGATCACTGCTTACAAAAATACAATTTCGACTAAAATCTAATTTAAACCTTTAATTATTGAATGAAACTGAATTAAAAGTTAATCTGCAGATTGTTTCCAGTCCTTTTCAAATGGCATCTTTGTTTCTTTTATATATTAAATTGACGTGTTGAAGTGAAGCACACAAAGTCATCCTGAAAGCTTGTCAAAATGGCATGACACTGTAAAAAAAAAAGGCTCAAGTAAACAAATTACAAGTTGACTTCAAAAATGTTAGCTACTGAATCATGAGAAACTCCCAGGAATATGTGAAAAATAAGAACAAAATCTGGTCCGTAACCTGTTTCTTTTTATTCTCAGGGCCATAGGTTTCTACACCCCATGCAAATAACTGTCAGATTTTAACAATTCAAATACAGAGCACAGGAGTACAGACTCCCAAGTAGAATGCCCTTTCTTTGTGTTTGATTAGTCAAGTTCAATTGGTCAAGTCAAGTAGGAACATCTAGAAATCTACGGCCCGCCCTGACCTGATGTTTTCCTGTTGAGCCTTGTGGTCATCATGAACAAGACTCCAGATGACCGATCTTGCATCATAGGCCAACAATAGAAGGCACTGTTAAATCCGGCACAGTAAATCACCACCACTGACACCACTGGTCAGTGCTTGGTGCACAATCGTAACCATGCTACCAGTGATGTGAATGACTCTACCGGGTGAAATGGAGGCACAGCACCTTGGTCGTCAGCTGAACGGGACCAGTACCTCACATCAACAGAACACAATTTTGCAACTGCTGTAAACTGTATTTTTTTTATTAATTTTGCATATATTAAATTAGATGATTGTGATTTGAAGTGATTTACATGAGATCCTTGCTATTTTCAGATTGAATCTGATCAGCAAGTTGGCTTTGAGATTTGGGAACTTGATTCAAAACTTTGGCACATACATGTAAACATACGTCTTTGGATTATTGCCGAGTTAATTTTACCCATTGTTCAGTATAGTCGACAATGTAAATTGAGAATGATGCTCTGAAGTGTAGTTGACAATGTAAATTGAGAGTGATGCTCTGAAGTTTGGTTGAGGTTTAAGGGTTGAAGATTTTGAAGCTACACGTAGTTCACTATAGTCACAAATCTTTGAGATTATTTGTTATCAGAGCTTATTTCCATCATATTTGAAAGATAACCGGCTGTGCATTTTACCACTGGGATTCCTATGTCAATCCGTGGTACAACATTCTCTTGGAGACTCGAATTTGGGAAGTGATAATTAATTGGGATTAATTGGAAGTGGTATTTAAATTTCTCTTTTAATTGTGTATGTAGAACACTTGTCCTTGGATAATTAATTGGAAGCAATAATTAAACTTTCTGTTTAATTGTATACACAGAACAGTTGTACTTGTAATCATTGGACTATTTGGAGTCTAATCTTTCTTTCCAGTCGCAGCTTCAATCCAATTAGCCTAACTGTGACAAATGTATCAAGAGCTTTAAAGACTTCTGTCTTCCCTAGGATTATAGTAATTTGTTTAAGACTGTATATTTTTGACTACATGTCATACATGACAACTACTTCCTCCACAGTAAACCTCTAATCTTTAGTGGTGGTGGATTCTTGCTGGTTCTCTCCTCATCAGTGGGGAGCTCATCTAGTCCAAGGTAGTCCATGATTAGGTGAACAAGAGTGTTGACCTGCTCACGGGTCACCCTCTCCTTCCATTCCTTGAACAAAAATGAAGCTAGCGAATTGGGCAGGTGAGCTAGGACTTGCTGAAAGGTATCATAGTTACGGTTCTGCTCAACAATGTTTAGCAACCAGTGGGAGAAAGCAGGCCACTTGTTAAGTTCCTGGAATAACAAAATGATACAAGCTTACTCCCTTGTAAAGAACCTCAATGAATCATTTAAAGTCTACAACTGTGAAGAATCCCAAAAAAACTCTCCCTGTAAGTTATCTTCCAAAGAGCATCAAGTCCATGCAGAGTGATAGCAGATGGTCTCAACCTTTTGCTCAAGTTTATATAGTATTCCAAAACATCGTAAACAGATGTTGAAGAACTTGGAAGGTAAGTTGACAGTGCGATGAACCATCCACAAGAAAAATTACAGAGGGAGAAAAGGCAAGTCCAACCCAAATGGCATTCAGTTTGTCTTCTCTGATACTTCAACTGATCTACTGGTACTTTGAGCAAAAACAACAAAACCAAACACATGTACCCATAAGGCCTTCCGCATGCACACTGAACACAGGATGCTTACCATAGCTTTGTTGATGTAGTTGCTATCTCCAGCATCACCAAAGAAATAGTTGATAGAGATGGACATCTCTACAGATGTCACCTGATGCCACCAGAAGGATGGGATGTACAACCTTGACACAAAGAGGAATTAAATTATGTGTAGTTATATAAATTCACTGATATTAAGTAACTTTAAAACTGCCATACAGCAGATAAGGAATGAATTCTAAAACAAGGACTACAACCTCACTCTGAATTAAATCATCTGCTGGAGTTAAAGTTAGTATTTGAACATGAAAAGTCATACCATTTCACAGGATGTGCAAATTTGCTTACTTACGTGTACATGTTTGAGACAGGAAAGCTTTACTCACATTTCTCCTGGGCCAAGTTCACCTTGATGGCATGTTGCTGCTACAAATGCCGGATGCTGCTCCAGGTCAGGGTCATCACAATTGACCTGGGCCTGAATTGTGCGACCTTTTGATCCCAATGGGTTTGGGTAGAGTGGCATGGGATTACAGCCATATAATCGGATCTTTTTCCTTCCAGTCAAGACAACCAGCAGTCCGTCGTCAGGATCAAAGTGGCAATATTCTATGAATAAATAGAATTCAATTTTTTTGGGTACAAATCCTTTATTTGTGCTGTTTTTTTTAAAGCATGCTTGTGCATGTATAAAACCTGTTCTGTAAAACATTTCTACCATTTGTACTTCATGAACAGTTTTCACAATTATACATGTATGTTTGCTATGGAAGAAATGAATTCTTTTACACTCACTTAAACCCTAACACTCCTCAATCCTTCACCTGTTGGAGGACTGAGGAGTATTAAGATTAATGAACATTTAAATACATACATGTATTAAATTACTCTGTCATTCCATACATTTTATACTGTTATTCTATTAAACATGTTAAAGGTCTCCAAATTTATCATGCACACTCCTCAAGTCAACAGTGAACTTAATAGTCAAAGAGCACATCATTGTCTCTTGCAATGAATGGATGCCTACACGTACATGTACATTAAACTGTTTAAACTGTCCTTACCATAATGCCCCTTGACAGCTATCCATAGGTACGGTCCCATGTGGATCTTTCCAATGTAGTCTGGGATTGGGACATCAGCCTGAGTTATCAAATATGTCAACAAACGGATTAAATAAAACATTATTGTCAAATGGCACAGTATAGAAGCAGATGTTCCTGTTCTTTATAAATCCAGTTTTATGTAATTTGAAAATGCTACATTACTTTTCTCTCCCTTCAGAGAGAAGACGTTTTTACTACTCTGTTTCCCATTTTATTCTTAACATGAATAATCTTGATTTGAACAGATTACCACTATAGTTGTTCCAAAATTAAGAAATATTTCAATTCAACATTCAAACAATAACTTTTGCGAATTGAAGTGGTTCCCCTTAATTCTGTGTTGTACAAAACTCAATCATGCAACATGTCATGCATGTAGCCGCAAGTCTGCATGTAGCATAAACAGCCAACTAATCCATTGTAGAGCTCAAAATGCCCATGACGGGAATGAATCCAATGATTCCCATGTAAGTACTGATCCTATGCTTTCTGTGAGTGAACATTAGCAGCTGACTGACTGGTTTATCACCCCTCGATACTGATCATTATTAACAACCTCAACATGTATTTCACCAAATATTCTATATGAAGTCCCATTAGCGAGTCACAAGATCATCACTATCAACAAATGGTCAGAGTACCGTTTATAAAATGACAACAAACAAGACAGCTCCTGTACATGTACATGTACATTACTTTGCAGTATTCTTTTTTCTTTCATTTTCAGCTGCAAAATATATATATTCTTGTTTTTTAGCCTAGTCATGTAAAAACACTTCTGGTCGGGTAATATTTAGGCTACTGGTACATGTAAATATAGGTCTGCATACATAAATGTTGGCAAATCAATGCTCGAGATGGAACAGCATGGGGGAAGGTAAACTTGCCAACTATAAGCCACAACAAGTGAATACCTAATCCTGTAAAATGAAAATTCGGATGAACACTGTATTGTCTATGGTACCTCCAACTCAGGGAATGTGCTCTTGATGTTCTGCACAGCAAGGTAAGAGTTCCTGGCTCGTCTGTTGTCTTCTTCCAAGTCACTGATGTACTCTCCCAGTGTACTTTCACGGATGGTGTATGCTTTACCAATCTGTTTCACAAATAATATGAACTGGTTAAAAACCCAACAGAGCAGTCTGGTACAGTGCAGTGACTGCCAATTTATACATCTTGTGCGGGCACCTACATGTACTTGTACATGCTGTGCTGGTACACATATACATGTACATGTATAAAAGTACATGTAATTAATCAACATTTGGGCAATAAACTCCATCGCACTGAACAGGAGACTTACACACAGTAATTTGAATATTGTACATTTAGTGTTCAAACTCACTCACACCAAAACTGCAATTTTGTTCTTTTATTAGCAGGAAAAAGACTCACATTTAGTAAACAATGAATTCTCACAAATTA